CCCACGTGGAGGCCCGAGGCTGTGGTTAACAAAAACGTTTGTGTCTCCGTTTTAAGGAACACGGACAGTCACCCACTTGGACGGGCTGGTCAAGGTCACAGCGTGAACCCTGAAAAGCGAAAGGACCCCGGGACACAGGTGGGGTGCTTCTGCTGACATCTGCTCCGAGGGTGAGAACAATGGCTGTTGTGTTAAAACGGAGTCTGCCCCCAGGGCGGTGTCTCTGACCCATTTTAGCAACAGGAAACCAGCATTAAAAATGGGGAACAGAACTGAGATGCTGCAGAATCAGAATTGGAGGGACTTCAGCTGGAAAGCGGTGGGCCTAACCTTGCAGAGCGCGCGCCCTTCCCGCTGGCTTTGTTTCCCTCTTCGTATGTTTCATGGTGCTTTGTTAGTGTACTTACAGAGAATCGCCTCTATTTAATCTGCGTGTGTTAAAGGCGCTCTAATCTGCATGTATAACCGTCATGTATCCAAGGCGGCTTCAGTTCACCACTTTTTTTTAGGCCTCCCCTGAGGATAGTTTTTCCGCTGCTTTTCAGAGAGAGTGGAAGGGAGAGACACCCATTGACATGAGAGAGACACATCGACTGGCTGCCTCCCCCTTGTGCCCCCACCGGGGCTGGGGATACAGCCTGCAACCGAGGCCTGTGCCCTTGGCTGGAATCAAACCCCCAACCCTTTGGTCTGCGGGCGATGCTGTGACCGCGGAGCCAAACCGGCCAGGGCCCAACAGGTATTTCTTAGCAGCGGGCGCTGCGTCAGGTGCTGACTTGGAGAAAGGGGCCGTGTCACGTCCTGTGCGGGTGGCTTCCCAGGTGAACCGCAGTGAGTGGGCTGCTCAGAAGCCTGGAGCAGTGATGGGAGGGAAAGGTGTGGGCCACGGGAACATGTTCCCGAATGTGCCTCCCCAGGTCAGGTAACTACTGACCTTCCTGCAGGGGCGCGGGGCAGGCCCTGCCGGCTGGGTGTGGAAGGCAAGAGCGGCTCCTTGGGAGGCTAGAGGACAGGGTGACATCTGGGATGCTGCGAGCCGGTACTTACAGCCTGCAGACCCGCTCTGCACCTGGGCTGCACACCCG